CTGTGGGAGCCGCCTCGGCGAGGTGTCCCCAAAGGACACATCAAGCAAGCACGGATTGCAGAAGCAGCAGCAGTTTATATCCATGTTTGTGCTTACGGGCACAGGACATGAGCTGTCAGCACAAACACTGCCTTGCTCCAGAATGCGGCCAGAAAGCTCACTTTCTCTGTGGCATGCATGCGCTGGACACACACTCGCCGAAGCAAACCATGTCAGCATTTGCTCGGAAAATGGCTCCGATTCATGGAACGGAACGGGAAAGGGGAGCGGAAAAGAGAAGAGGTTAGTGGGGAGGGGGAGAACGGCGGCAAGGGGAGGTGGTACCGGTAGTGGAGATCTGGCTCGGTGTGTGTGCCGGGTGGTCTGGGTGGTGGGAATGCATACCTGATCATGTCTTTAGATGGACATGTGCTGGGCCTTCTCATTTGCTCTTCAAACCCGGGCTTGTAACACGAAGCTCAACTGAACAACTCGCTAAGCGCTAAAGCATAACCTTCAGGATCCACGTACAGTAGCACCTGTGGAAGGTTCTATTCAAACTCTGCTACAGGCAGTTTGCCCTGAGTACTTCCCGAGGAATCTGCTCTGCCAACTCTTTCGAACTTGGTTTGAGTGCAGAGTGGTCGAAGAGCCCTTCCTGCGCTACACCATCATCAACTTGTTGGCTTGCTCGGATTGGGTTCCCTTCCTTGATCTCTTCTTCAAGACGACACCACCTGCAGCTGGTTCAACACGGCCAACAAAGCGCCACACCATCAACTACTCAGAGTTGAGCGGCCGGCTCCCGGGCAACCGGTGGACTGGACTCAGATTGCCTATTTCTTTCCGCTCCCGAGCAGCGAAGTTATTAGGAACTTTTGCATTTGAGGGGTTGCTGTCATCCCGGGGTGCCTTCAGCTTTCAGCCATGTATCAGACTTCCAGCCACTGTTGCTTGAGTGCTGGTTTCCCTCCCACCCAATGTTCCTGAGCGAGAGCTTGATTGATGTCAATGTGGATGGTGTTTGAGCCTGAAATCCATGCAGGGCACTGTTCAAAACAGCTGCTAGCACGATGGCTGTTTGATGTGCACAGCTTTTAGCAAGAAGTGTAATAACAAGTCGCGACAGCGCTCAAATGCCGCATAAGTTGAAATTCAGATGCAAGCATCAAGTCACGAAGCTGCAAGTTCACGGTTCCATTGATGTGTGTAGTGGCAGCCATGTACGCTTGATCAGTAGTGCTTGGTGGTGAAAGCAATCGACTTCCAAAAGGATTGTGCGGCATTCCTTGCTTGTGCATCATCCTGTGGAAATCCTTCAGTTGATTGAACGTTCTATTCTTTAGCACGATTTTATCTTGCTAGAACATGGTCTTTTTCTCCGCAGTTGCGCTGAGGCTTCACCTGCACATCGGTGCAACATCTGATTTCTGAGCTCTGTCGACAGACCGCAGAAGACGGGAATTCAGCGCCTTGGAGAAGGCTGAGAGATCAGAAGTATGATGAGGATTCACGCAAGTTCAGGCCGCGTTGGGCACAATTCTGCTCAATCTTACGCGTCTAGCGATGTTTGGTATGTTCACCCAGGGTTGGCATTACGTAGTAGTGCTGCCTGCAGGTTGCAGAAGCTCATCGCCGCCAACCATGCAAAGCTTTTAGGTCAACCTTACCTTCTCTCTCTGGCGGAAGAGATGGAGTGCCATCTGCTTCAGGTGGACAACGGGTCCTATCGCTACTACAAGAGACAGGCACCTTCAGGAGCTTCCGTTCAATCTGATGATGTTCAATCGGAAGAGTTTTTGAAGTATCATCGAGGGATAGAAACTTTCTTTGCAAATACATCCGCAAGGCTAGGTCGCTTTGGAGATGGAGGTTCTACTGCTAACAACTTCAAGTTTGTCCTGGGAAGCTCCTGCGAACGCCTATGCTTACAAGAGATACTACAGCTGATTCTGGCATGTTGGAGTCGCGTGTCTGTGGATTTTTCGGGTGTTGACTGGAGTTTGGCAGTGGAGAGATCGCACTCTTCTGGCTTGCTGGCTTATACGTATGATGAAGGCGAGGGACAGTGGCAAGCCTCTATGCCGGATGGCGACCCCGTTCTTGCCAAATGCCTCATGTTGGGGCTGTCGCAACAATTAGCTGATCCTCAGCAGGCGAAATTCGACTTGCGCAAACTTGCTGAAGACTTGTTGGCCTTGAAAGCAAATCCAAATGTGAGAGACACATCAGGGCAATCTTTATTGCTGTCGTGTGTTAAGCAAAAGAAGGCAAGGGCAGTCCAACTTCTTGTAAAGCATGATGTGGAAATATCCACAGAGGCTTTGCAAGAGGCTGTTCAAAGCAGCACAGCTAATGTGCTATTGCAATTGTTGGATTCTGAAAAAATGTCGCAGCCCTCACTGTGGACCTTACCTGATGGCAAACACAAGTCGCTGTGCGGTCTTGCTTGCTGCAGACTGACGGGCGCTTGCATGACAATCGAGCAAGCTGCCTGCGGGGATCCAGCATTTGAAATCGGTGCCATATTTGAAGCTCTTGAGATTTTGAGGCTGCTGCATCTTGGTATCCAGCATTTATCAGGCTTTGGTGTTTCAACCGGGTGTGCTCTCTTGAAGTATGAAGTCTGTGATGCACTGGACGTGCTAAGGCATGAGAAGGGTCTAACGCTGCCAGTTGCAGAGATAGGCTACGTGGTGGAGTCCAAAGCCGCTTTGTGCATTTGCCAGTTCCATGAAGGTAATCATCCTCAGTTGAAGACTGCTGTCCACAAAGCCTTACAGCAGAGCATTGTTGAGACCTCGAGTAAGCTTCTCGACAGGGTCACAGAAGAAGGGGACACCATGTTTCATTTGCTGGCAAGAAGGGCCCCACTACGAGCTGCAGCAAGAGATAGAATGACTCTGTGGTTGCAGAAGTACCCGGAGGTAGATTGCTTGCAATATCTTCGCTTCAGGAATAAGGCTGGACTGTCAGCTTTGGAAGTCGCACTCGATGTCGGAATCGGCCGTGACCCTGGGAACGACCTTGACGGCAAAGGTATGCTGAGCTGGTTGTTTGAAAAGACGGAGATTCGTGAAGATGATTTTGGAAAACTGCTTCAACGGTGCGTTGAGACTTGCTGCACACGTGCTAAAAGCTATTCGATGAGCAAGGACCACATTTCTGATGGAATCCGTTGCCTTCTACTCTTAGCAAATCGCAAAGCGCTCTATCCGGAGTTCAGCCAGTCTTGTTTTGACAAGGCCGCAGATATGCTAGTTAAGGAGTCCCACTACAAGGCTTGTCAAATCTTGATCAAAGCAGCGGGTGAGATAAAGTTATCAACCCAGTCTGTTCAGCACATGTTGCTGAATGCAATGGAGGGTGCCAAGAAGAAGGTCAGCAGGCAGGTGGCCGAGACAAAGATTCAGCATTCAGCTCACAAAGTTGAAGAAGTCAATTCGGCCCAGGTCATTGGCAAGCGACAGAGTGTGTTGGGAATCTGCGGTAGCCAGAGGCATTTGCGAGAATTGCTTGATGCGAAGCTTCAGGAAAGCCAGGAAAGACCGCGTGGCACAGCATTCATGAATGTAATTGTTAAAGGCCTTGTCATCGTCCTTGAGGTCCTCTCAGCCGCAGATCTGGTTACAGACATTCTTCTTTTGAGATGGATGTACTTGAGCCACCACATCTGGTGGGCAACATTGTCTTGTTTGATGATGGTGGCCCCGTATTTGGCGGCCTTTTCCGCGACTTTACGCATTGGCTTGCGAAACCGCATCTTTGAAGGGACAGATTGTGACGGGAAAGCTCAAGCTTTCTACTGGTGTCGCAAGCTGGCTGGGGCAGTGTGCATGACACCTCTTTGCGTTGCAGCTTTCATCCTCTTAGATTTTGTTTACACTGTCAAAGCTGCCACTTTCGATGTCTTTGCTCTTGTGCTTGGCCTCATTGCACCTGGCTGGAAACTGGATTTGACAGATGGGGCCGTGAGCAAGTTCCTTTCCGACCATCTGGGCTTGACAACAATGGATGTTGAGGGCTATCGGAGGTTACGTACGACTACCCAGCTGTTATTCGAGTCCTTCCCGCAAATCGTGCTGCAGCTGTACATCTTGCTAAAGTCTTCATCAGAGAGAGAATTTGAGGTTTCAGATCAAGAGCTGGTAATATCCTTGGCATTCGCCTTGTTCCATCTTTTTGCAACCTGCTGCATAGTTGGGTTGGAAGCCAGATCTGCTCGAGAATCAGTTGCGCACTACACGATGACATGTCTGACAGGAAGATTAGGCTGGCTCCCACTGGCAAACACTGCAAATGACGAGGGCGCTTCGGGACGGAAGATGCATTTTGATGATCTCTCTTTCTCTTTTGCATGCGGGCGGTTCACGATGACCTTTGAGTTTAGTCAAAGTACATGGGCGAAATTGCTCGGCGCTTTGTCAAAGGTTCAAGACAAAGCAGGCAGCATCTCTGTTGCGTTTGGACCTTCAATCTCCCTTTTGAATGTGAACGACATATTGACCTTTCACAAGCGCTTTTCGAAAGTGCAACTCTCCATGCAGAGTGGAACAGAACCTGTTCCATGGACAAGGATCTTGCAGAATTCTGGATTGAGCCTGCCATGTGACAATGTCTCAATGCTTCAGAAGCAGCAGCCCTCCGCTCAAAAGTTGCTGGAAGATTTCATCTTGAACCACAATCACGATGCTGTACAAGCGCTTTTGGAAGCCGGTGTGTGCAACGCGACAGGGTTGACATCTCGCGGCCTCATGTACTTGACGTTTGCCGTCGAGATGAAGCCTGGCTTGGCTTGGGGAGGGAAGACATCGCATAGAGAGTGAAGACCCAAAAAGAGTCTGAGCCAGAATCTTAATTGAAAACTAAGGAGAGACGCGAAAATCTGCAAGCTGCTGCTGACTTTCAAGGCTCCGTTGACCTCGGCGGAGTTGTCCGCAGAGATCGAGGATCCGTTGATTGAGGTGGGGTATCGTGTTCGAAGCACGCTGGAGACGCCTTTGGAAGCTGCATTTCGCGTGATGGATGCTGATGTCATGTCCACCTTCCTATTCCATGAGCGGATTCAAGCGAACCTGTCAATGAGAAAACGAGTTCTCAAGCTGACCGAGGCAGCTCGAGAAGCAAACCTACTAGCAGCCGCTCAGACCTACGCCCATGCATCAGGTCTAGCTCCAGATTGGGGTACTGGTGTCGCCTGACCGTTTTATGGTCTTTATGGAGCTTTTGTTTGATATTGTAAAATCTTTCTTGGGGGTGATTGCCAGCTTGCTTCTTGTGTTCTCAGGCGATATCACGAAAAGCTCGAGTTCTACTACCTGGTGAAGCCAGAGTTGAATGCTGCGTAGCCGAATTGGAGCTCTTCGAGCTCTTTCGGGAAAAGCTTTTTCCGGTGGAAGACGATGAAATGATCCACCAGGCTTTGAAGAACGTTCTTTCAACAACTGCGGATGATGTTCTTGAAGTTGATCTGACCTTTTTGGCGTTGCCACAATCAGCTGCTTGGCTAGCGCAGGCAGTTGCGTTTACGTGAATAGCCGAAAAATGTGATAGAGTCACATCTTTCCATACAAAGCGTGGTTAACGCGTGAGGTGGGGAGTTTGAGTTCTTGACCAGCTTGTTGTACAGCCTTCATCTTTCCTGGCGTTTAGCCAGGGCAGGGGTCTTGGGTTCCTTTGGCAAAGGTATTTTCGGCAGCCCATCTTGAACAGCTGCTGGCAGTGATTCGCGCAGATGCGCCTCTACCTCCGGCTGCTACCCTCAGCGTCTTAGATGGCTTGGTTGAGGAACTGGGTTTCGTGAACATGCAGAAGTACATGCAGATCACAGCTCCTCACAGAGCATCTTGGCACAGAGCTTGTGGAAGTTAACCACGGTTAAACCAATGTTGTTGCTTTCGCCGCGGTTTGCTTCAGTTCAGTTGGATGATTTCTGATGGGAATCTCAGGTTACACGCGCGATCCAGCAGTCACAGAGCGAGCGCCAACGTGCTAGCCACAGCGACTCGCGAGAGAAGCGGGCCTTGGTGCTTTGCAGTGCTACTTTGCCTTCCGACTGCTGGCGTGTCTATAGTATGAGAATCTCCGGCAGATGGACTGATCAAGGTTGGGGCAACACCAACATTAACAAAGTAGAGATTCGGGCTGTCACCGCTCGGGCTGGCTTAGTGTACGTGCAACTTCATTCTGTGGACTGGAAGTCAGACAAAAGCCGCACTGAAGTGAGCTTTGGCGGGACTCAGCTCGGACAAGGCTTGGATGAAGAGGATGAGCAAGTCCGAAAGAACTTGGATCTTGAGGGTGCGGAATCTCTGCTGGAGATCCTCACTGAAGGAGATTTGGTTCAAATTACGATGGGTTGCGTCGGCTGGAGTGGTCATAGAGCCCAGGCAGAGGATACTCGTTTGGAGATCGAATACTTCCCATATGCAGTTTGATGATTTCAATGTGCCATGATGTGCGATTAGCGAAAAATTAGCTATTTGCTCAAGTTCCCACAGCATGACAACTTCGAGATTTTCATTGTTGTCCTCGAAGAGGAAGCTTCTCGACTTTGCAAGGCTGGTTGTTACAGACACACCATGGCTGCCTGCGCAAAAGTCTCTGAGAGACGGGGCGCCTGGGATCATCTTTAGACGAATCAAACTTACAGATTTCGCACGGCTGTGAGAGCCATCCGGTCTGGGCTTGCTTCATCTTTGTAGGAACTCACAGACATTCCATAGTGGAGCTCATCTTTATGTTCTGCGAAAACAGGGCAGTGACCCCCCTACACTCAGTTGCAGAGCACGAACCTGGACTGGGAGCTCCACGGTCAAGCCGTCAAAAGCAAGGGCAGGTGCAGGTCTTCGAGTCAAATTGGTGCGCACCTTTCGTTTGTCCTGGTTTCGATCCAGATGTGGTCATGAGCAGAGCAGTTTTTCTGCCCGCAGCCTTTAGCGCTTGAGGACCTACGATGGCAGTCTGCAACCACCCAGACTTCGTAGTTCAGACTACCTTGACATGTTGTTTTTTGTAGAGCACGGGCACTGGACATGTCGCACCAAGCAAAAAACCAGCAAGCTGAAGAATCACATGCGCGGCTTGTGAGTCTGTGATTCATGGCTGGCTGCTGCGCTGAGGCGCATGTCCAAAGGCAGGGTATCAGCTTTGTACGTGAAGTTTACTTACCTATTAGGGTGGTGTGAAGAGCTGCTTCTGACAGACAGCTTATCATCAGGACAGCCCAAGGGAACATTTGACGAACCTCCTTGTTCTGTGGAGCAGGTAGCCACGCCGATCGTGCGCATCAACAGGCCATTCTTCTGAATTGCTCCGAAATTGATTTCAACGGAGATAGTAATAAGATCATTCCTAGTATTACTATTACTATTATTAGTATGTTGACTATTATTCCTGTTTTTATTGCTATTACCACTGTTACCCTCAAATATTCTTGGCAGATCCGGAGGAAAATCAACATCCTAAGGCAAGAGGAAGGCTAGGACCTTCGGAGATGCTGCAAGCCCCAAATTCCAGAAACACTGGTTTCACTGGGGCATATGAACAGAATCGTGCGGAAGCGCCAATTGATAGATCCTTCTGCATACGAGTTTGGCATGAGCAAGATATGGGATAATTTGCGTAGATATCCATGTCCATGTACACAAAGGGGCCTGGACATAACGAAGCAAGGCCTGTGGCCTTGCAGGCACATCAGCTCCCCAGACGTGTCCGGATGTCATGAGAGGCTCCAAGTTACTTTCATACTTCCTGAATGAGCGTTTGCAGGGCTTCCGTCAACTTGTTGAAAGGTGATCCTTGCAGTGGACTTCCATGGGTTGACATTCATGAATATGCAAATTTGTCTGCGCTGGTGGGCGTTAATGTTGGGGACGGGAACATGTTGACCTGGCCATTCAATCATTTTCGCAAAACGGCCGGCTCTGTGGGAAATCCCGCTTTATACAAGTGCATGCATGCGGTCAGGCGATGCCTGAAACTTCCAAGCCTGCAGCGAAAAAGAAGCCGCTAGCTTGGACAGCATGATTCCTTGCTGCCTGCACGTTGGGACGTGCAGCATCACAAAGATCCCATGAGGAAGCGCTCTTCTTCGCATGATGCTGGCACCAAAGCTTCCTGACTGCGTTGGGTCAAAGACATTTCAACGCCAAGCACAAGCATTTTGTTGCAGGCATCCAAGAAGAAAGCCTCCCGGTCGAGGTCTCGAGATGATGACCGCAAGAGGCATCAGCACGGCTAAACCTGTTGTTCTTTGTGCAAGTGTGGATGCAAGGACATGCAGCGGAATGTGCGAATCCAGAATGCTGAGTTGTTGCCTGCTGCCTTGGGCTCTTAGCGGTTCTCAGTGATAGCAGAGATCTTGTGGTGCCTCTGCCCAATTCCGCGACATGGGCAAGCCGCGTGGGATCCGATGTGCCCGTAAGTTGAGGGTTCACCGAAGGGAGGCCTTGTGGGCGGACAAGGACGGCACATGGCCGCCAAGCATGCTCATGGTAGTTAGCTCCGTTGGAGCTTCTGGAAAGTTGTGCAGTTGGGTGTGGCAGGACTACAAGAAGGCCAACCTGGGTACCAAGTACAAGTGCAATCCTTTCGGAGGCGCGCTGCTGGCAAGGAACTCGATGGGTCTGGCTGCTTCACTGCCGAGCTTCGGTGAACATGTGCAGGCACCTCCCACGCCAAGGGCATCGTCGTTGAGAAGATCGGCATCGAAGCAAAGCAGCAGCAAGGTTGCATTTAGCAGCCGTCAGGCGGTCATGTTCGTCGGCCGTGCTGCAAGCCTGTGATTTGAACCCGGAGGCCCAACTCTGCCATCCGAAAGTGCTGCCGCAGCTGCCCTAGCTGCCTTACTTTGATGACTCTCTGCTTCTATTTCGTTCCAGCTTCACTTCCTGTTTTGAGCGCTGCTCACCTTAATTGCGCACTCGTGCTAGTAGTCATTGCATGTCATTGCCATTGGACCTGTAGCTTTGCCTGGTCATGAGGTGTGCAGTTGATCAAGAACGGAAAGAAGATCGCGGCCTTCGTCCCCAGGCCACTCGCCATCTTGACCTTGTCGCCGTCCAGTTCCGAAGGGTTGCACGATGTTTCATGCAGCATGACCTTGAACACCACGCAATGGCAGAGGGATGGTTGCTTGAACTTCATCGATGAGAACGACGAGGTGCTTGTGTCCGGCTTCGGTCGACGAGGTCACGCCGTCGCGATCTCAAGAAGCGTGAGATAAGACTCTAAGGCACTCTAACTCAGTTTCCTCCTGTGTGAACTTGCTGACAGTACCGGTGAGCAGAGGTCGGTGATATTCCCGGTGTCCGCTTCAAGGTCGTGAAGGAGGGATCTGCAGCCTGCAAGGGCGTGAGGAGTAAGCGTTGTTGATGCACCGCCAGGTTGCAGGCTGCGGCCTGGGTGCCTTGTACAGGAACAAGAAGGCAAAGCTTGCATGCTACCTAACCGAATCTGCACCTGCGCACGGCAACCAGCAGCCAATGCATTGTCCATTTGCCAGGAGAAGCCGCGATCGTAAGTGGCTGTACTGACGGCATGGCGGCGCTTCCTGGTGAGGGCGACACTGGAGATATCTGCTTCTGAGAAAAAGTTGGTTGCTTCCTAGACTGGTCTTACAGCCTTCTTGCCGTTGGCCCGGAGGGCGTGCAGCATGCAAAAGCTCACAGTTGTCCATTCCGGAAATTCGTGGCCTTTGCGAGGAAGGCAAAGTCACGCTCGCGAAATCGTTCCAAAGATCGCGAACGATCGCTTGACGCTGAGCCAGACGAATGCTGGATGTGATGCAAGCACTGATGCTTTGGTAGAAGATCATCTTGAGTGCTGCTCCCTGCAAGGCGGGACAGAGACAAGCGGCGACGCAAAGGCACAGTTCATAGAGGGCACGATCACTTTCAGATACTTTCAGTAGGAGATTCTTAAGACTCATTGCGCTTTGGGCACCTGGCTAGATGCTTCCGACGACAGCCGGCGGAGGAGGGACAACCGCAGGCCATAGATGGCACATTGACATTGATGTGAGCTATAATCTAAACTCCTGGTAGCCCCCTGAATATCCCCTATAATAGTCCCCAATATAATCCCCTATATAACCTCCTTTAAGGAGTTTAGACTATAAGTCATGTGTTGAAATCGGTTCAACAGCATGGACAGGCGCCAGCGCGTCTCGAGTTCCAGCTCCTTTCCGGTGCGCCCTGCCCATTATCCCAATATACCTTCTATGTAACCCCAATTTTACGGGGATTACAGCGACTTCCATTTTATTTTCCACTATCCCAACATAACCCCTATATAACCCCAATGTTATACTGGCTTTCATTTTATTTCCCATTATCCCGATATAACCCCTGCATAGCCCCAATATTGCCGTGACTTCCATTGTATTTTCTGATATCCCAATTTAACCCCAACATGTACCCTATAGTCCCTATAAACTCGATATAACCCCTATGAATGCTTTAGTCTCCATCTTCTTTTCCGTTATCCCAATATAACCCTATTATAATATAGTTTCCATTTTGTTTTCCATTATCCCTATAAAACCTAAACCCTAGAAAACCCTAAGCCCTAACACCTAAGTCCTAAACCCTAAGCCCCTAAACCCTAAATCCCTAAACCCCTGAACCCCTAAACCCTAAACCCCTAAACCCTAAACCCCTAAACCCCTAAACCCTGAGAGCCCGCCTTGCCAGGTCCGGCGGAGGCGCTCCCCTGACCGCAGGCGGTCTCCAGAGCGAAGGCCGGGGCTGCCCAGGTATACAGTACTATGGGGGATTCTATAGGGTTTTATAGGTATTCTATAGGGGTTTTATAGGGATTCTGTAGGGATTCTATAGGGTTTTATAGGCATTCTATCGGGTTATCTAGGGATTATATAGGGTTTTATAGGGATTCCATTGGGTTACAAAGGGGGATAATGGAAAAACATGGAAAAGAAAATGGAAGCTATAGGGATTATAAAGGGTTTACGTAGGGATTTGTGGGGTTATGTTGGGGTTATACTGGGGTATATATAGGGGTTTTATAGGGATGATGTAAGAGGATATGGAAACTACTACGTTATGATAGTAAGAGATGGCGTTGAGCCGAAGCCCCCGAAGCAAACACAGGAAGCCACGAAGCGTCAGCGTGATTCTTGTTGTAAGGAATATAACCCACACATCACCCATTTCCCCATATAATCCTTATGTCATAATTACTATAACCCTAGTATATAGCTTATTTCAACGTGGTGGTTTCCGGTTTCTTTGCCATCATTTCTTCATAGCCCCAAACTTTTCCCTTATTCCCTACCTACCCCACACCCTAAACCCTATATATGTATATTTATACATATACGTATATCTATATATATATATATGTATATATATATATGTTTATCTATATATATATATACATATATGTATATATATATATGTATGTCTATATATATATATATACATTTATTCGTTCCCTTGTTTTGATACTTTCGTAGGCGTAGCCGAAGCCGCGATCGCGATCGGGATCGCAAGGCCAGGCGAGATGCCAAGGACCGGAGGAAGCCTTTCAGGTCTCGAGGTGATTAATACTTATCATTGTAAAACCAGCATTAACATTATGATTATCAATTCTAGATGATGCTAGATGGCATATTTTTTTATCAAAGCAAAGGAGAATATATGTATATACACATATATACATGTTGTTATTATTGCCATTGTCACTTCTACTATTAGTATTATCGCTATAATATTATTCATACATACTACTACCATTATTACTACTATCATTGTTGCTCTATAGTTGCATTAGGCAACCAGCTTTGTTTTAGTTTTCTTGCCGGTAACCCAGCAATTCGACGCAGGATTCGAGCTCCGATGTGGGGCCCTTAAAGTGTGTTTTCCCGCCCAAGTCAAACGTCAGCATCGTAAAGCATGGAGTTGGTCAGGATCGCAAAAGCAAGAAGAGCAACAAGGTGCTGCGCTCAAATCTCTCAGACATGCGAAATTATCCTGCCGTTGTTGATGCTGACCATCTTCTGTGAAGGACAGCAACTTTGACAGGGAGGTGATTGATGTCAGACCTGGAAAACAGGACTTCAGCAAAAGATAGAAAAAAGTTCAGAACCTCTTCTTGACAATGTTTGAATGCAGGAGGAAGCAAATGGAGATCAAAAAGAAAAGCTGGCGCGCTCTTCGCGTTTCAGCCCCATTGAGGCCATAGAGGTTTAAAGATGATGCGTCGGTCATAGGATAGGAGAAAGGAAGCTTGCAGAGTCATTTGGGCAGGCTCACCAGGTCCCTGCGCAGAACCCGTACCCCAAGGGGTCCGCCGAGGCTTGGTGTGCCTTTGTCAGCGCCAGCACTAGAAAGGCTATCCTATCTTTTTTCTTCTGGCGATTACATATTATTACGATGTTAGAACGCAGATTCCGCAGTGTGATCGTTGATATCTTGGATGCTGTCACCTGTGTCATCGTGATGCTTTCCTTACGGACCCATGTTGTCATTCTTGGTGCCGCGATGCATTCCGTTGCGCGCCGACCTGGGTGGCCTTTGGAGGCTCTCCGCTTGGACGCTGCTCGGTTGGAGCTGGCGGGCACCTCAGTTTTCTTTTTCAAACTTGTTATTGTTGTTGCATTGAGATTGTTATTCGGGTGCCAAATATTGCGTTAGAAGCTACCCCAGTGAGTCTAATCTTGTAAGGGAAAGCTGATACGATACAGGCAGGTCACGGCGGACGGGAGCACAGACTAGGGGCCCAGGGTCTTGACATTTGATTTCTTGGCCTCAGGCTGCTGTTGCACAATGGCAGCTCTTGGTGTTGTGCCACTCGTTGCTGCTGCTGCTGTTGTCGTTGTTGTCTAAACCCTAAACCCTAAACCCCTAAAGTAAGGTCCCATTCAAAACAACAACCACAGCAACAACCCTAAACCCCTAAACCCTAAACCCTCGGTCTAAGCTGCACTTTTTCTGTTCATTACCTGCTTTCTGGGCCAAAGGCAAGGCTGAAGGCGATGGGAAAGATGCCGCCACCGCAGCTCTTGAAAGAGGCCTTACTATAATATACTACTATAGTATACTATATAATATGCGATAATATACTACTGCAATAGACTATATAATATATATTATAAGACTACTATAATATATGCTAATATACTATACTATAGTACTATAATATGATGATCTTGGCTTCAACAACATGTGCCTTTTGCCGACAGTTCAATTGCTGTGAATGCTGCTACATGGAGGAACAAGGATGACCATAGTGCCTAAGTAGTTGTATGATCATGCCGACGCGGGTACCGAACCGCATAGTAAGCAATGGCCGTGATAATCAGGATTCTGAGACAGTCCTTGGGATCCTTCCGCACTTGGTTGGGCAGCTGTTTTTTTTACGTGTTCGACACATTTGGAGTGTCAGATTGCTGTTGGAGCACAAGCTGCTGCCCTTGCCGGACCCGCCAAAACTCCGGCGGTACGTGCCTTAGAAGAGGAGATAATATTACAGTAGCATATTATAGTATATTAGAGTATATTACACAGGAGTAGTATATCGTATACTATAGTAGTGTATTATAGTAGTATATCATGGTATATTTTAGCCTGATGCAACGGATGAAGCGAGGCTGAAAAGCCCAAGCCCAAGAAGTCCGCGCTCTTCGCTCAGGGGGCAGATGCTACACCTTGAACCTGTAGTCTCCTTAGGAATTATTTCTTATCATAGTATCAGCCTAAGGAATTATCAAAAATATTAATTTTTATTGTAGGTCTAAGGAGACTACAGTAACCAGCGAAAGCAGTAAGCAGTCCTTCATGCCTCAGAAAGTAACATCAGGATTGTCCCGTTGTAACCTCTTGTCGCTGATATGCCCATTTCTGGTGTCATTGGTTCTGTTACTTCTATTGGTATTCTGCATTTGTCTGGCAATTTCGCGCAAGCACTTCCAGCTCTGCGCCTATCATGATGACTCATTCTGCTTTAGGGTTTAGGGCGTTGGGCTTGGGGTTTAGGGTTTTGGGTCTAGGGCTTAGGGTTTAGGGCTTTTGCACGGCTTTCTGCACTTGGGCTTTTTCAAAGTGATCGTCATGGTCATTGTCCCTACTCAGCTTTTGTGATTGCTTTTGCATCCAAGGCCTGCCCCGTGGATGGCTGCAAGGGCGGTGTTTGCCAACAAGGTGCTGGTGGCTACTTGTACTTGTAGAAGCAATGATAGTAATGGTCGGCTACCAGCAGTCAGTAGCAAGGACCAAATGCATCACTTTTGCCAGCTGGTGAAGTAACGGACAGTGTGTAGATCGTTTACAGGAGGATCATGAGTCAGGATGACATTACAGGAGCAGCGAAGATTTGTGGCAAGTCGTGTTGCAGTGTGCGACAGGACGGCGAAGGTTCCAAAGCATCTGAACCAGCGTTGGCCCTGGTTTTTTATTTTCTTTCACTCTGTTTCCAACTAATGTTGCTTGTTGTGGCATGTATTTCACTACCGGTGGTGTTCTTAGTAGTTGTAGCCGTGTCTGGGGTGGTATCATCCAAACTCTTGTTCGCGCATCGTTCCTCTTGATGTTCTGACCACGGCAATTCTTATGACAAGTGTCTACGTCAATTACTCAAAGAGTCTAAGTGTAGACCGATATCAGCAGCTGCTTCCAGACGAGAAAGCCTGGGGGTGGGGGCAGTAGCAATAGTTAGCAGTCACATGCAGTCACTAGTAATCGTGATGCAGAAGCCGTTCTTACATCGCTATGAAAAAAGTAGCCCCAGTACAATTGTCAAGATACAGGCCACGCAAATTACATCAGCATGCTCAAGGACACGGGCCATGAGAAGCTGGCGCATGATTACAGGAAGGGCAAAAGTCATGGTAGTGGCAGCATGGAGCGTAAGTGCAGCGTTCAACAGCAACACGCGCACCATGTCTGTTTTGCTCTCTGACATGACAAAGTAATGGCAACCACGCCATGTTGCTGACTTGCCATGATCAATACCGCTTCTTGCCCACTAAGGCTACGCCAGTCGGACAAGACAGCAAAGATGGCAAAGATGCCAAAGAAGGGAAAGAAGGCAAAGAAAGCAAGGACGGTGACGACCGCGCATTTGACTCATGGTTCGGTTGGAGCCTCAAATTGCCTCAAGGCCCCCGGAAACTTCAAGCCAGGTGCTAAGAATATCAAGAAGCTTGACATTTCGGAGCTGTCCGAGCCAGCGCCTAAGCGGAGACCCTGATGATTCGGCGACAAGAGGAGGTATTTCAAGGTCGTTCTCAGAGGTTCCTCTCCTGCGGCTCTGCTTAGGGACTGCAGGTTATATGGGTTATCTAGGGGTTATAGAATAGGTTTCTACAGAAAGCCGGCGCCCGTCTCTCCTAATGCGCAGGCTGGCTATGCCTGCGATGGATGCATGATGGTCCTTTGAGTTGTCAATTTCGTACGGACACGGTGGCCTTCAGCCCATAGAACCTGATACCTCGCAATTCAAACGCCCTCAGGCTGTCCAAGGCCATCGCAGAGGATCGAAACAAGCTTCGGCTGTTCGTTGTCAAGGCAGGGTCTCAAAAAATTCTGGAGTCGGATTCTTTGAGACCCCATAGAGAGTACCGTATTGTCTTGTTTCATAGGAATCCCCGCAAGATTGCCGCGATACACAGGCCAAGGCAGACTTCGAAGAGCGGAAGGAGAAGGCGCCGATACTATTCTGCATAAGCTATAGTCTAAGCTCCTTAAAGGGGTTATATAGGGGATTATATGGGGGGTATTACAGAGCGTTTTAAGGGGGATACTAGGGGTTTAGACTATAGCTCACATGCATGTGAGCGGCCTACCACATAACATGTCATAGGGACCCGAACTGGGGGCTCCTCATATTTGGAAGCCCCCATGTCTCAGAAGGGGTCCGCGTAAACTGAGAAAAAATGCTTCAGTGTAGTTTGTGATGATCTCCCACAGGAAGCTGATTGTCCGCATGACAACCCGTTGGCTGGCGGCAGCGAGACCAAGAAACCTGACCACATTCGCGAATCCTCACGCTACACCTTGCTAGTTTCTAACCACAACATACTATACAGTAGTTTCCATTTTGTTTTCCATTCTTCCCTATATAACCCATATATCATACCAGTATAATGCCCCTATATTATACCCCTATATTTCCCCCATATTACCCCTATATTAATGTGGAGTTCATCATGCACCGAGTTTCACTACCAGATGAGCAACAGTTCGCAAGCTTTCCGCTGCTGCAAGGCAAAGGCCCTTCACCAAACGGTTCAGATGGGCGAGACGGATGAGAACGAGTCACTAGAACGAAGTTGGTGATTTCGTGAGAGCATGCGGTGTTTTTATTTGCAAATTCGAAGTTACCTCTGGGATTGATGACTGCCCAGGTATTACTCTGCCTCTGTTGGGGAGGAGATGGGGCCAAACAAGTGCTACAAGGTTGAGGCCCTCATGTGCTAGCATGTACCGCCATCTTCCGCAGTAGCTACAGCTTCAGACGCTTGATCAGTTGGCTCCAGGTCGATCCGATTTGTATTGAACTTGATGGCGTATTCAAATCTGTGCATTGTTATTCCTATCTCTACTATTACTAAACTATTACTCATCATTATTCTATTATTACTCATCGTTATTCTTATTGCTACTATCGCTGCTGCTACCCTGGAGCTCGGGATTCCAGAGGCTGCCATCGGCAGAGGAGTCTTCTCAAGCGTCTACCACTGCAAGGGCCTGAAGGACCCTGGACGAGCCTCGCTGTGGCATACATAAGGTTCTCAACCCATCCTCATATAGCCATGGTCTAAACTCTTTAGATATATAGGGGAGTATGATGGGGCTTATTAAGGGGGGCACGACTATAGCTCATATACCCCTACATATCTCCATAGAACCCCTATCTCTATAATCCTTATATAATCCTTCTTCAGAGGATGGCAAGGACTATGCCGTCAAGCTAATCAGGGCGAATTCCATGATGCGCCGCGCTGCAGACAAGGAGGCCTGTCGCACAGTTGTGAGCAGGGCATAACATGGAACACGTAAACACAAAAACATGAGTTTCGGTTGCAAAGGTGGAAATGTACAAGCGGCTGGAGAAGAACGCCGGGGAAGATGCTGAGGAGCGTGTTATTTGTGAAATCCTACAGGAGCATTTCTTTGCGCTCGTGCTCTGCATGGTCAGGGCTTCAAGCACGTCATCATCCTTTCTGATCTTCAGACGTTCGAGCACAATGGCCATCTGAGCCATGAGCTCGTGCAAGTTTCTCTAAAAGGCTTGCTGGGTGCTCTTCAGCTCACACAGCTGTCAGGTCTGGTCTTTGACCTGCTGAAGTGCGACATGCGCTTTGCCCTCCAGAAGTCTCCCAGCCGCACTGCAAGAAAAGCGAAGATGGGAAGCTTTGTGTGTGCGCTTGAATGGTGTCCCAGCTAAGGTATGGCATGGGTGGAGGTCTGCCATTGCCAACGTTGCAACAGTATGTGAGGCCCGGCAGCGCTCTTTCGAAGAGCACCGAATGAAGTCCTCACAATTGGATGGAAAGATCAATTTTGCTAGATACAAGGCTATCTTGAGCTCGATTGCGTTGGGTTTGTGCTTTGCGGAGCTGGACCAAATCGAAAGCAGGAGTGTTCAGGTGGAGTTGGAGGCATAGTCGTAATCCTTTGGGCCGCTTCCTCTCTGGGTTTAAGCGACCTTTTTTGCGCAAGAGGCATAGTGGTATTCTGCGAGCACAGATGGCCACCCTTTGCTCTCGAATCTTTGCACTTTGCACAGGCAGATCCTGCTGGGATTGCGTGCCCTGCGAACTGCAAAGGCGCGGCACTTGACTTGATGTAGGTCTGCCTGCTGAGGCCTCCGAAGACAGGAAGCACCGTGTGTAAGTATCATGACCAGCTAGTGACCCTGATGACTGATGACCCTATGTGACCCTGATGACGCAGGTTGTGCATGCAGATCTGAAGCCGGACAATATCCTCATGACACTGAACAAGGCATTGCTGATCCCAGACGTTTGCTGTTCTGCTTGTTGTGCCAGATCAAAACCGTGTGTCAGCCTGACATTTGGAGGGCAGACGTGCTTGAGAGCAGGAGGTGTGCATCAGACGTCAGATGCCCATTAGGCTATTGGCAGTATTGGGATAATGGAAAAGAAAATGGAAACTACTATATTATTGGGTATAGTCCCCTTAAGTAGATAGAATATGGGGTATATGGGGATCTTACTATAATATACCCCAAAGTCATATTCTATCTACTTAAGGGGGACTCTATACCCCAGCAGCCTTGAAAGCAGGCGGAGATCAAAATCTGCGACTTCGGAAGTGCCATGGATGCTTCGGAGCAGGTCAAGACTGCGTGCGCTAAACCCCAATATGAGCTATAGTCTAAACTCCTTAAAGGGGGTTATATAGGGAATTATATATGGGACTACTTAGGGGTTATTAACTGAGAAAGTAGGAGTTTAGACTATGGCTCATATGAAACTAATATCACCCCATTCCCAGTTGTTCTTGCAGTATAATATACTATAATGTATTTTGATATACTATATGCCCCAATATAACCCAGTGTGGTTGCGGGGAAGCTTGTCTGTTCTTCCTAGATTACAGCGAAGGCACACTGTCAAGCCTTTTGACGGCTTCCAGGTACCTGCAGCCGCGCTACTACCGAGCTCCAGAGATTATGCTTGGAGTTCCGTATGACATGGGCATTGACATGTGGAGCGCAGGCACTGGACGTAACTGCTCGTCACCACAGGTTTATAGCACCATAGGTGCAAAACCAGGAGTTTGGCTGCAGGAACCACCATCTATGAGCTGGCCACGGGGAAGATCTTGTTCACAGGTAAGACGAACAATCAGATGGTGCGGCGCTAAGGCTTTTTAGGCTAGGCCAGCGAGAGCGGAAAGACCCAGTTTCCGGGCGGTATCTGCATGTCCAAAATGTTCTTGGATCAAAATTGCTGCGGTCAGTAGCTGTGGAAACGTGGGCTGCGCTGAGATGAACAAGATGATCTCGGTGGTGGGGAAGTTCCCGGAAAGAATGTGGAAAGTCGGTGAATTTGCAAGGTCTGTGCTGTTGTTTGTTGTGTTGTAGCATCTGTGTAGCACTGCCTGTAGCATTGCCTGCAGGAAGCACTTCAATGAGACGGGAGACTTCATGAGCAAGGCTGGGATCCGTGCAGCGAGAGTTATTCTGATGAAGACCCCCCCCCAAAGGTAGGGTTTATTGTCTAGGGGTTAGGGTTTAGGGTTCAACCCGCTGTCAAAGTCCATATTGTCATTGACAAAGCCGTTGTCAATGCTGTTTCGATTCAAGCGATAGATGCATGGACGCAGTAATTCCAACTGAGCTTCCTGGAACAGCTACTTGAGGACCCTGACTCCATAACGGGACTTCCAGACGTGGTGCAGCTGTGCGGTGCTTGGTGTGTGCTGTTCCCACTATCAGCAATTGAGAGCCAGTTAGCAAGTTAACGACAGGTCCAAGCCCACAAGGACGGTTCTCAATCTGCTACAGGCACTGCTTGTCTGTCCATGTGAGCGAAACTACTTGCAGGGAAGATCCTTAGTAGCTTCATTTTCTTTTCCATTATCCCTGTATAACCCCCTATAACCCCTTTATAACCCCTGCATTCCCCTTATATAACCCCTACATTAACCCTATATGACCCTTATATAACCTTACATAACCCCCATACTACACCTATATAACCCCTATATAACCCCCCCTATTACACCTATATAACCCGTATAGAAACCCCATATTACACCCATATAACCCCTACATAACCTCCCTTGGGAGGCAGAGCTGAAGCACCCCAATGCTGGCGTCGAGCGCAAGGACCACGAAAAGTGGGTCGTGCAGCTCGCCGAGTTGGCTGGCAGCTTGGTGAGTTGCTGTTGATCCTTATGTAAGCGTTAATATTGGGGTAATATAGGGGTTATATAGGGATAATGGAAAAGAAAATGGATGCTACTTTCATATTGGGGTTATAGAGGGGTAATACAGGGAATATATAGGGATCATGGAAAAGAACATGGAAACTACTTCGGGCTTTAGGCTCAACAAGTGGATGGCACTTGAGCCAAGGTCAGCAACTGCTGCCGGCTCGACCCGCAAGAGAGAATGAAGCCTGGCGAGGCGAGCGCACAAGGCATGGCCAGGTACAGGGAAGCTTCCTTATTTGGAGCAGGCCGTGGAGCTGCAGTTCTTCAAGCCATCAAGAGACAGCTAAGAGTCAGGAGCTACAGGGGCTAAGGCGCTGAACACGTTTTTTCTTGCCTTTTTGCTGAGGCCTTGTTTTGGCCTGCCATACCCTCCTTGGACGACATCCTGATGCTGCCAGAGTGCTAGCCTCAGCATCACAGCCTCGGGTATGGGAACAGCTGGCTATCCGGGCCCACAAGTCTCTGGTTACCATTGCAGCTGGTGCAACACTTGCATGGCACTAGACGCCAGACAGCGCGGACGAAAAGGAGGCTGGTACTTGGGTTAGCAGTGCATTGGATCATACGTAACTCGTGGCTAAGGCTGAATAAGTCGAATAAGTAGACTTAGCTGTGCCAGTGACTGCGTACCCTTCATCGACTGTGAGACCAATAAGGCTAACCATCTCAGATTTTCAAGTAAGCAGCGAAAACACGCGGAGCATGCAGTCGACGTAATGATGTTGTTGGTATCTCCTGCTGTGCGCTTGATTTCCCAGAGCTAGGGCTCACGGCCCGTGATCGAGTGCGAGAAGTGCGTGATGACGCAAAGATGCTGGCCATTGCTGCCTTCACCAGGACAGCAGCTTACACATACCGGGCCTGAATGTTCTTGCTCTGGTTCAGTGGCGTTCTGGTTGTACTTGTGGCTGGGGGTCTGGACAGCATGCCAAGATATGCCAAGTCAAATCCCTCTCATCGGTTGTGTCCATACGACCCGCAAGTTTTGGGGTGGTCCCTCTCATCGCTGAGCCCAGCCACACTCTGCAACTCATTGACCTCAGTCCAGGCAGTGCACAGCCCTGGCCGTGCGCCACTTGTGACTTGGACGTCAGGCACCATGCAAAGCTCAGAAAAGCAAGTGCTCCTGGCATCTCCTCGCAGTGCCCAGATTAGCATAACTCTACCCGAAGTATGGCGTTGAAACCCAGAGAAAAGTAATGCGTAGGACTTGCTCTTGGTACCAGCCTTTGAAATTTGACTTTCACACTGACCCCAGGTGCCAGTGTTTCTGCGTATCCGTTCCTGCAACTTGAGGCTATGAATGGAGGCACGATGGCAACTTTAATATCCCACACTTCTTACTTTGAACCAAAGATTGGGGCCCTTACACTTTTTAAGTCTTATGATTTGGGCTAGTACCCAAGTATGTTATGGGTACATCACACTCTGAAACCCTGTAGTTGTTTGCATTTGCTTCAAGGCAGGGCCCAGGGCCCTTCGCTGGCATCCAGGCCGGACGACCCCTGACACTAATTGCCCATGCCGCAGCCATTGCCCTTCGAGACATGGGGATTTCTAGAAAGTCAGTAGAATGCGGGTCCCTCTTGTGTGGTTCGTATATATATATACACATAGAGTACGGGTCCTTAGAAAAATGACCCATTTGGGGAACAGTGCTTGAGGCCACATCTTAAGTTTAAACTGCTCCCCGGATCATATCTACGAGTCTAAGAGTCTATGCAGTATGGAAACCCTGGTGAATAGTTTAAAATGCCTGTCGAGCGAAGCACACGACCGTTCGCTGAAAAATGTCCCCTTGTACCAGAAGTGCCATTCTATTTGCCGAGCTTGTTCCTCTGCCAATCTTGCATGGCAGCCCCCTTCCGCATGCAATCGTGCAATCTGCTTGCGAATTCACCCACTTGATGCGCCTGACCCCACACTCCAAACAATGCTCGGTATTTTGCAATGTGCGAAGATCTTGTGAGCCCTTCGACCTCTTCGTCAATATCGGCGGTGATTGAGAACTGCTCAGCCACAAATGCAAGGCCATGTTTCTTGCCTTGGCATGACAGCAGCTGAAGCATGTTCTTCCAGCTCTACCCGTCAGCCATGTGATAGTTTGCTGCTGTGGGCTACCTTGTAGGGCGTCAGACGGCATCAGACCTTTTGACAGTAAGCCGCCTCTGTAAGCAGCCTTCGCAAGAGAGTGAATCATGGGTCACGTTCCTTCCAGGAACAGGTCAGAAGCGAGCTGCGCCGGCAATAGCCTCCATGTCGACAGGGTTGGAGGAAGTGCTGCAGACAGTGTCTTTTTGTTGGCTTCTGAGCTACGTACTGCCAAGATGGTGTGCAATTCCGATTCAACAGAGGCGGAGTTCTTGCCCCCAAGACCTTGGCTATTTCACGGGCAAGGATGAGCTGTCTTGCGGATTACTTCACATGCTCTTGCCACGCAAGGCCTATACGTTTATGCGGAAGGATTTGCTGCGGTATGCGAAATTATTTTATCAAAGTTTCTTGCAGCCGGGTTTGATTTGAATGCAGCGCAGGCAGTTGGACAACGAAGCGTTGGAGCCTTTCCCACACTCTTGACGGAACAGGGGCTTTTGCGAAACACCACGCATCATACTGGATTTGAACCCCTTTCAGGGAAGCGGTTCACTACAGCGACGCTGCGACACCCGCGATGTAGACTGCACCGTGCTTGGCTCAGATGAAGCCAAGCCTCTTTAACTGGCAAACTAAGGTGCCACAGCAGCGCTGCAGTTGACACTCTGAGCCATGGTAGCCCGGCTGCAAGGCCCTTGGTAAGCGTGGGTGCAGCCTTCCGCAATGGTTTGTTTCACAGCGCGTCTCACATGCAATCGGAACCTCCTGGGCACAGCCGGGTGCCGGGCCATTTCTTAACAGTTCTCTTCTGCAGCTGGTCTCAAGCATGACGGTTCTGGCGCCCGGTCCAGGCGGTTGCAGCTAATGTATACAGAAGCGGCCTGGGTAAGCAAGTCAAGCGAGAGCGGTAATAGTAATAAATCACTCAAAGGCAGGCCACACTGGAGGACTGTCCCAGCTGCGTCATGCTAGGCTTTTGCTTTTTTGGGTGTGCCCTCAATCAACTCCAGGCCCGAATACCTAGAGGCAGGCGCTTGCATGTGAAGCGCTCGAAAAAAACTTACGGTTCGCCAGATGCCAAGCATGAAGGGTGAGAGCTGCTAGGCGGACAGTGGACAGTACCCAGCTGTTCACAGCCTGACATTGTTGATTTGGGCTCCAATCTAGGCGATGTAGCCTTCATTGTCCGGCGTGGGCAGGGCTAGGCACCCCGACGCAGGGGAAGCCCCATGGCGAAGCATCTTGCTGACGGGAAGCCAGGGGCGTCTGAAGCATCTGAGGTTATAGACCTCAAGTCGGAGGATGGTTGCCCGGCGGCCTGGCCGACCACCTTCATCAATCTCAAGTCGAAGCCAAAGAAACTGAATGAAATCAATCCGTGGGAAGATCTTGACAAAGTGCTGGCACACAGGATAGCTCGCGATAAGGAAATGGCCAGACTTTCATGAAGCAACGGTGGCGGCGGCTGGAACAATTGTACAGCGCATGCTCGCTGCTTGGTCAGAAGCCTCTTGCTCGACGCAGGTCTTCCTTCGCGTTGCGCAGGAAAACAGCCCGTGACAGGAGGGTCAGGCATCTCACTAATGGAGGGCCTTGTCACAAGTGCACAGCAGGAGCAAAGACACCTTTAGCGTGTGTTTTGCTACAGTTGTGATGCTGAATATGCTGACGTGTGCTAGCAACGTCAAAACAATCACGAGTGAACAGAGTTAATGGCATGAGAATGACGGCTAGTCAGACTCGCAGTCATCACTACCACCGCTGCTACCGCTGCCACCATCATCAACATGAGTCCCTATGTGACAACACGAACGATGAACGTGATGCTGCAGCCCTGTTTCAAGGGAATCGGCCGAGGGGGAAACTGCCCTCTCAGAGCTCCAAAGTGTGTCAGCCTCAAGGCAAGATAATCATTAGTGGAAACACTTAACCTGGTGATAGTTCAGAATGATGGCTGCTGGTGCAAGCAATCCCTCCGTTGCGGACTACCTGACAGTATCCCACCTTTTCCATACTTTGCACTACCTACTAAATGTCTAGAGGATCAACGGGCCCACAGTTACCTAGGCAGTCAAGTCAAGCATCTTTCTTGCACGGCTGAATCCTTCTTTGCCGATGGCTCGGCTGGCGCCGGAAGCTGAAGATGAGAGTTTTGCACAAAGTTGGATACTCTATAAGCCCTGAAACTTCAGCTCCAAACAAACTTGTCAGAGCATCGAGCGATGCACTTGAATCCCGTCCAAGTCATACAGTATCCATACCCAGCTATAAAGTTGAAATTGAGTACTGCCCCCACTGCAACAGTTGGAGAATATTTACAACATAGTTTCATATAGCCCTTAACATCACCAAAGGGTGGGGGCAGTACCCAAAGTAGAAACCTTAAGCCTCCGAGCCCCAAAGGCCAGGAATCCTCAAGTCCTCAACCCGAAGGCCCTGAACACGCAGGAACCCCCTAAACCCCTAAAGCCTAGACCCCTAACCCCTAAACCCCTGAACCCTAGTCCCTAATCTCTAAACCTCAAGCCCTAAACTCTAAGCCCTACACTCCTAGTCCCTAAACCCTAAAGCCAGCAAGCCCGACACAAGGCCACTGGAAGATAAGCGCGCCTGGCCCGCCCTGGGGAATCAGCCAGATCCAGGCCCAATGGGATTAGGGATTAGGGTTTAAAATGACAGTCCCCAAAATGGCAATAAGGGTGATTGGGTTTAGGGTTTTAGGGTTTAGGGTTATATGGTCTCAGCTTTAAGGTTTGAGGGTTTGAGGGTTTAGAGCTGTCCAAAGTAAGCGTCCCCAAATTGACTATAAGGCAGGCTCCCTATTTGGTTAGGATCCCCCTTAGGAAGTGTATTCTCAATGGTCCCTTCTTTACAAGGACCTGTAGAACA